ATGTTTTTTAATATATATATATATATATATATAGAGAGAGAGAGAGAGAGAGAGAGAGAGAGAGAGAACTAAAAGTATATTTTAGATAATTTGTCTTAATTTAAAAAAAAATTCACAAGTTTAGTTGCTTTTTTTTATATATATTTATTTGAAATTTATCAAAAACAATTTTATTGTAGTTTTTATTTTAATCTATTGGCTTCAACATATTTCATACAATTTAGGTGGATTTTTTTTGTATATTTTTCTATTTATTCTATATACTTTCGGTTTGTTAAGTATGATATATATATCATTAGTTTTGTTAGAAATTAATTATATATCCGTACATATAATACTAATTATTTGTTATTTATTTTTTTCATATTCTAAAATTGTTTTTTAAAATAAAATAAGTTAGATAATGTTTTGAAAGAACCTTTCAATTATTCAAATACAAATTTTTATGCTAATATTATTAAATATTTTTTCAATAAATATATATATAAATCAAACGATTTCGCTCAATATATAGATTCGATTTACATTAATCATCGTAAATAAAACTTCTATTCGCACTATATCATACGAATAGTTAACCCCGCGTATGTAACAGCTTGTTTGACTCGCGAGTAACATGAGTATCTAACTAGTTGCATCTAATATATTTTAATATATAGCAAATACACAAGGATGCAGCAAAAAATAAATAAATAAATAAATTTTGGATACATTTTAAATACATAGAATATACAGTTAGGATGCGTAGTAGATGGAGTCAAGCTATATTTTGGAGTTAAATTTATAAATTTTTTTTCACAAAAAAGGTAGATCTAAATATGATTTTTTTTTCAAGTAATTATTTATTTTTATAATGATGTCAATTAATGAATAATATGATTGATAAATGATCATATTATTATATGAGAGTTATTTATAAGATTATGAATATCACAATTTTACCTTTTTATTTGTGTAATTATTATAAAAAGAAACGTGATATTTTATAATTATTATGATAAATACGAAATTAAAAGGGATATGAGTAGAAATAATTATATTTGAAAAGAGAAAATATAATTATTATTTATACTTTCGTAATAATTATCAAAATAATATATTTTTTAGTATCCAAATATTGTAAAGCAGATACAGATATCATGTTTTTTTTATAATAACTTCATATATTTTTATTCAATTAATTATTTTTATTGATTTTTTTAGTTACTTTTTTTATATAAATTAGGTGCTATTTTAATTTATTGTGAAAATGAATTTTTTATATATATATTAGGTACTATTTTTAATTTATTGTCAAAATGAATTTTGTATATGTATATATATGTATCAGCAGTTTTTAAAACGCATGGTTTAATTCTGCTTTCTACTTCAGCGATTGGACTCAAAACTATCATGCTCTGTTTGGTTTAAACTTCAACACAAGGACCAAAACCTGGAAACCTAAAGGCTAAAACATTGCTTGCATTATTGGAAAATTCCATACCAAGGGCACGCCATTCTGAGCTTCTTGTTAGCAAGAAATGCAACCTTCTGTCATTGAACTGCGTTTCTTGGAAGGAGGAGGACATAGGTTCCGGTTCATGAGATACAAGCTCATTGGTATTTACTTCATTAATTTATTACAGAATTCATGTCGTTCAACTATTCTATATTTCCTGATTCTTGATAGTTGTAGTCATTTTCTTACCGGTATTACCATCCACAAATCCAACTAGTTGCTTCAAAAGAAAAGTAATTTGACTTTTTCCTACGAAGAAGAAGCACCCCATTTCACATTGTCTGGGGGCTATACACAAAATGGCATGGTCAAAAGAAGTAGGTTGCTTCAACAAGATTTCACATTCCCGTGTGAAGAGGAATTGCTTGTAAATGATGAGAACAAGAAAGAAATAATGGTACGTAGATGAAATTCCACATGTCACGTGTTTTTCTAACATCTAGAATCTGAAAGGAACTTGAGTCATTGTCAGGAAAACAAGAAAAAGTTGAAGAACAAAGTTTTGAGAGGATTTGAGTTCTACTGAAAATTGAGGTATCCAAGGAAGAGAAAATAAAGGTAACGACTTTATGTTGAGATTTGGAAATTCTTAGGAAATACTCCATTACTCCCTATGTGACCCTACTATATGTTTTTTTTCTTGTTCCCCTATTCTTTCTTTGCTCATCTTGATCAAGGAAAACCAAAATGATCATGGCATCTATATCCAAGAAAACAGTATCCATAGCATCCCAATATTCCTTGTTCTCCGTTGTTCCTTTCTTGGTGTACTTTTTGCTTAACACAAGGATGGAAGGAAGCAGAAGCTCTTCTAAAATGGAAAGCAGAGCTTGACAATCAAAGCCAGTCTCTTCTGTCCTCATGGGCTGGAGACAACCCCTGCAGTTGGGAAGGAATCAGTTGTGACAAGGCTGGTAGCATCACGAAGTTGGGTCTTCAGGATTCTAGTTTGAGAGGTACACTTCATAGTCTCCAATTCTCGTCCTTTCCGAACTCGATCGAGCTCAATCTTCGCAATAACTCACTCTGTGGTACCATTCCTTCTCATATTAGGAACCTCTCCAAGCTCGCTGTCCTTGACTTGTCTCACAATCAACTTTCTGGCAGCATTCTATCTGAAATGAGCTCACTGACAAGCCTTCAGTTATTTTCTCTGATGAACAACCTCATCAACGGTTCCATCCCTTCTAGTTCTATTGGAAACCTGAGCAATTTAGTATATCTTTATCTCGGTGACAATGAACTCTCTGGTGCCATACCATGAGAGGTTGGAAGGATGAAATCTCTTGTATCGCTTGATTTGTCGAGCAACAACCTTAGTGGTGTTATTCCTTCGTCCATAGGAAACTTGAGCAACTTGGTTTCTCTTTACCTTCTGAAAAACAAGCTGTCTGGTTCCATCCATGAGGAAGTAGGAATGCTTGAGAATCTGTGTTCACTTCGATTAGGAGGGAATAGACTTGATGGTACCATCCACACTTCCATAGGAAACATGAGATCTCTCACAGTCCTTGATTTGAGAGAAAATACTCTCACCGGTACAATAGCAGCTTCTATAGGAAACTTGACAAGATTCCTCACTTCTATTGACTTGGCATTTAATAACCTAACTGGTACAATCCCTTCATCTTTAGGAAATTTGAGAAAATTATCCTTTCTTTACCTTCCTTCAAACAATCTTTCAGGTTCCACTCCTTCAGAGATTAACAATCTCACACATTTGGAACATTTTTATGTAAATTCTAATAGGTTTACTGGACATTTACCAGACGACATATGTCGTGGGGGACTACTTTCGTCGTATGGTGTTTTATGCACAATTACTTCACCGGACCTATGCCAAAAAGCTTGAGAAATTGCACCGGTGATGTCTGGTTCCATACCGACCTCTTTTGCGAGATTCAAGTCTTAATGGGTATACGACACCAAAACATTATGAAGTTGTAAGGTTTCTGTTCACACAGAAAGCACTCATTTCTGGTTGGTGAGTTCATAAAAGGGGAAGTTTAAGAATGATTTTAGAGAATGAAGAACGAGCAAGGGAATTGGATTGGATTAAAAGGCTAAATCTTGTGAAAGGGGTGGCCAATGCTTTGTCCTACATGCACCACGATTGCTCACCACCAATTATTCATCGAGACATTTCGAGCAACAATGTGCTCCTGGATTCAGAATATGAAGCTCATGTCTCTGACTTCGGCACAGCTAGGCTCTTAATCCCTGACTCGTCCAATTGGAGTTCATTAACAGGGACTTTTGGATACATGGCTCCAGGTATGCAGTTAGGTCACAGTATCCACTTCCTAATAAGTAAATCTTTCTTTCCTTTCATAATTTAACAATAAGAATAGCAGCAGTCATATTTTTTGTTGGTGTATATTTTCTATAGCAGCAAAGCGTGACCAGGGACTTTAATTTGTAGAGTTGGCTTACACAATGAGAATGGATGAGAAATGTGATGTCTACAGCTTCGGAGTGGTGACGGTGGAAATAATCACGGGAAGGCATCCCGGCAATTTAATCTCAGCATTGTTGTCACCATCATCCTCGTCAACAACATTGCCAATGAGTCAGCATACACTCTTAAAGGATGTTTTAGACCAGGGAATCCCTCCTCCTGAAAATGAAGTTGAATCAGGTGTGGTCTATATTGCAAGACTAGCATTTGCGTGGTTGCATGCTGATCCACAGTCAAGACCAAAAATGAAACAAGTTGCTTCAGAGCTCATAATTCGATGGCCACCATTGTCAAATCCACTCTCCAGGATAGAATTGAAAGATGTTTTGTTTCACAGAAATGCCACAGGCTGAACATGTATCCCCATGTATCATTCTCCTTTCATTTTGCCCCTGTATATGGTCTACAATGATTCAAATTAGGTGAGAAAGATAAAATATTAACTAGTTATATCCTTTCTATATTTATCGTGTACTAAACATGAAGGGATTCCAATACCAGAATCGAAGGCATATTTTTCAGACAAGAACCTCATTTAATAACATTGACAGATGTATCATACATTACTCAAGGGAAAATGTATTTGATAAAATAGAGGTGACTTTCTGCATAAATTGTGCAAGTGACTAACCTCATTTGAAGATTTTACAGATGACATTTGGATATGGAGATTACTCTTCCTATATGCCTAGTTGCTTAGTTACTGGAATAGAAGTGAAATTTCTTCACAGGAAACCAACCAGAAACCAGACAAAAACGAAACCTAACACAAAATTTAGGAGATTTAGTCATAGATGCATCGGCAGGGAGAACCAAGCATTACCAGATAAATGCAATGGCTTTCATTATGGCATTTGATGCTTTTGTGGTCTCAAGCATGATCCATCTGGTGATCACAGAAATTGTAAAGGCTTGTTGAAGAGACTTCCTTCACCTTCAATTTTCATTCAAACCAGCCCACTCAAAACCTTTGATCTGGGCCATCAGAGATAAAATTTCTTCAGCTTCTTTCAAAGATTTTAACAAAATTCGTTTCCATTTTTCTCATGGTGTAATTCCAGGAACATAAGGGACAGCAGGCTTGGGCTTCTTTATTTTTTCAACCAGCAGTGCTTGAGTTGTTAGAACTATCCCAGCGATTGAGACGGCACTTTGAAGTGCACACCTAGAAACTCTACAAGGATCTACCACCCCTGCATTCAGGAGATCTTCATATCTACCATTGATTGCATTGTAACCAGTTCTCCAGTCACGAGATCGAATATTCTCCACCACAACTGCTCCATCAACTCCTGCATTAGTTGCAATTGTTTTTGCAGGTGCAAGAAGTGCCTGTAATGCATCATTGGCAAGTGTTACAATATCGGAGAAGAAATTTCCCTTCGAGTCATTTAGAAACTAGTACACGTGTTAGGTTTCTCCATGCTATGAACTGCATTTATAACCAATTCACAAAAGTGTCCCACTTTATCAGTAATTATAAAAAATCACCAACTAATGATTAAGGGGGCCTTTGTTCGTTTTACAAGCCTTGTGCACGAATCTGCTTTAGTATCAACCCCTATAGCACTTGCACGTGGTAACTGATTCACAAAAGCTGCTTGTTTCCATTTGAAATGCAAAATTCGCCAATCCAAATAAAGAAACATTCATAAAAGGCACATCTCACGAAAGAAAATAAAACCATCTTAGATCAAATGCCAGTGAGGCAAAAGTATAGAGCAAATAACTTCTGGCAAAAGAAAAGAACCAAGAACAGACCTTTGCAACAATATCAGCACCGATCTTCTCATTTTCATCTTCCATGGAATCTTTTATTGAGGAAATCTGCTCCAAGAGATGAACATATGTTGCACCACCACCAGGTACTATCCCTTCATCCATGGCAGCAAACGTAGCATTCTTTGCATCTTCAATTCTGAGTTTTCTATCTTCAAGTTCAGTCTCTGTGTGTGCTCCCACCTAAATTTTATGCACATTGCATGCTAACAAGTTAAATATAAAGATCACTTTACAATAAAACAACACCAAACAAAAGATTAGAGTCCTGTCATTTGTCTTTATAATTCTTAAGGAAAACAAAGCAGAAAATTCGTCCCTGTTACTTAATGCCACTCTAGGAGTTTAATGTCCTTAGCAGTAATTCTTCGCAGTTGTAGCCAGATTTGTCAAGATGCCCATCTATTTTTCCAAAATAATATTGTATAGTAGTTTAGCAATTCTTTCTGAGTGCTTGAACACAAACCTTGATTACAGCCACACCACCAGATAATTTAGCAATTCTCTCTGAGAGCTTTCTTGAAAGGGCAGCATTATCTGTTTCAGCAAGGTCCTTTTTTATCTGCAGAATTCTTGCCTGAATTTCAGCTTTAGTAGCTGGGTCAGCAACTATGGTTGTTGAATTACTTGTTATGGTAACTTTTCGTGCAATGCCAAGTTGATCCGAGGTAACACCTTCGAGTGTCAGCCCAAAATCACCCGAGAGAAAATCAGCACCTGATGAGTTTGGTACAGCATGAATCACGGAGCATATCAGATGTAATGACCTTCCAATGATAGTCATATGAGAACACAATACAATCTTGGCAAGCATTCAAGTAAACAATTTATTATTGCAAGTGCATACAATGTAGTATATTTTTTTAATTGAGACCTACTTAATCATCAAAGGATTTTGCAATCTTAGCAAAGCATCCAAGTAAAAAATTTAATATTTCTAATGCATGAAAGAGAGTAATAAATCTTATAATCGCGACCTAGGTAATTATCAAAGGATTTCTTCACTATCATGACATAGTTTATGAACATGCACACACATATAAGAACATCCAGTGGAACACAGACATGCACACATTGGAGGCTCACATATGCAACACAAACCCAACTTGCCAAGGAAGATAAATAATTCAATAACTGATATGTCAATATATTTCAACATGGTACAGCTAAGAATAACCCATTTAAGTCAGAAAGAAGATGCAAGTTCACCTGTCATAAGAGCAATGTCTTGCAACAATGCTTTCTTTCGATCTCCAAATCCAGGGCATTTGACAACAGCAACATTGAGCAAACCTTGCATTTTGTTCACCACTAGTGTTTCCAAAACCGGCTTTGAGATGTCCTCAGCAATGATTAACAGCGGGACACTGAGTTGGGTGGTTTTTTCCAACACAGGAACTATTTCTTGAACATTTGCAATCTTCTGATCCGTTACTAGGACTTTGGCCTTGTCAAACTCCACCAAAGATTTTTCCTGGTTTGTGATGAATTGGGGCGACATATAACCCTTGTCAAACTGCAGAAAGAACACCAAACATAACTCGTGATGAAAAAAAAAATACATATAAACACAGAAAAAGTTCAAAAAAATTATCCATGCATAGGAGCCAGAGTGTTTACACAAGTATAGCTACCCTGTTAATGAAAAAACAAAATAGTTAACCAGGAAAATATGAAGAGCAGAAGTTCAATCATCATAAATATTTACAGATAGATGGATGGTTTAACCATTCAGACTATGAATGATGATGATATTACATCAAAACTTCTAACATAGACTTTGACATTATGCCAATTTTCCAGTGTTTTATCTGACAAGATTTTTCAAACCATATTAAGAACTAGAATCAGCTTAATCACCTTCATTCCTTCTTCAATTATCACAGATGTCTCAGAGGTCGAAGATGATTCAAGAGAGATTATTCCATCAGAGCCAATCTTCTCTATAGTTTCAGCAATTAAATTCCCAACAAATTCATCATTTCCAGAAGAAATTGTAGCAACAGCTGCAAGGAGAAGAAATTCTAGAGTTTAGTTTCCAAGTCAACATAATGGTTTTGAACAAAATTTTAAATAAAGATGACATAGAGACCTTTTATATCATCCTTCCCTTTCACTGGAAAACTATTCTTCTTCAAGACCTTGACCAACTCTTTGACTGCCATATCCATTCCTTTCTTTACATAAACAGGGTTAGCCCCAAAAGCGACAGCTAACATCCCTGTTTTGACCATTTCACGAGCCAAAATAATAGCAGTAGTAGTGCCATCTCCAGCCAAATCATTCATTTTACTTGCAACCTGCAATAAGTCACTTCAATATCACATATTTATCATCAATCAACATCAAAAAACACATTAACAAAATATTAGGGAGAGGACAATGTAGCAACCATGAATGACCTCTTGGATTAACATTGCTCCAGCATTCTCCATTGAATCCGGAAGCTCAATTGCTCGAGCTATAGTAACACCATCATTTACTACTTTTAGCGTCTTTAACTCCGAAAGAACAACATTACGCCCTGCATAGTTTCACATCTTACTGCCTTAGGAACATCACTATCAATAAAAACTGACAATTTAGTATGCAATAAAACAAAAATGATTTTTGTCTATTAGAATTGCAATCACTGTTCTGGTTGCTGCACAAGGAATTTTTTAAATAATAGTTCTATTATTTGAACAAAAACAATCCCAAGTGTGTCATATTGTAAAACATAAGCTTAAAGAATCAAAATTTAAAAAACAAAAGGCTAAGTATCCATACAAAAAAATGGAAAGGAAGCAGAACCCAGTTTACCTTTAGGTCCTAAAGTGAGAGAAACAGCATCAGCAAGCTTATCAATTCCTGCCTGCAAGGCTTCTCTACATTCTTTACCAAAAGAAATCTTCTTTGGACCTGCTTTTACCACTAATTTCTTTACTACTTGATGGTTTCTCCATAGCCCACTTGCCCTTTTGTTACCACCAAAACTCTGCAACAATATTTCATTTTTATACATCAAAATCAAAGCACTCAAAAACCTACATGCTTATGAACGCAGACACACACACACAGACATATGGACAGAGAAAGAGAGAGAAAGAGACTTACAGAGAAGAGGGGTTGTTGAGGGAAGGCAAGGGGTTTAGAGATAGAGAAGGAGGAAAACATTTTTCTGCTCATTTCATTTGTTGAGCGAAATGTTAACTGTGAGAATTTAGAGGGGTTTTAGTCTTTTAGAGGGCATCGGGCCGGCTCTGTTCAGACACTTGGATTTAGGAGACAAGTCATGCTGACCCTTCAAACTACCAGTCGTTCTAAACGTTCTAACTTCTATGAGTTGCCCACTAGTTTGTTGCAGCCCTATGCAAATAAAGCCTGGAGAAGATTTTTTTTTTTAAGGATGTAAATTATGTTTATATACTTATTTACAAAATAATCAATAATATTAATATAAAAAATTATATTTAAAGACTATTGTACCATCATGTAATTTTTAAAAAATATTATTTTAAATATTTTATTTGATAGAAATTGATTTCCAAATACACAAATAAATAAATAGTAAATTATTGGTTTCCTATATGTAGATGCATAGTTAATTTCTAATAAAATAAATGATTGTATTTTTTTATTTTTTGTATACTATGACTATACTTAGTGAACTCAGAATATGCAATATAAAATAAAAAATATTAAAAAATACTTAATTTGTAGGGAGTGTATTGAATATTTTGAAATTAATAGAGTGAAATAGAAACCGTTACAAAATTGATTTCGATAACTTTTAAAGTAAATATAATCATCTATCCTTATACAACATTCAAAGTTTTTCATCTTTTTTTAGATTCTTAATTAAATCTCATTTGTCGTTGAAAGCGTTTGAAATATTCAATTTGTCTATCCAATCAATTTTTCAAGTCAAATAAATTTTTTTAACTGAAATGCTCCTTATTGAAATGCAAATAATAATAATAATAATAATAATAATAATAATATAATCTTAAAAACTTAAAAAATAAAACATGTAGTTCATGTGACTTTAAGTGTTTTTGTTTTTTTTTTTTTTTTGTATTTTAGTAAAGGTCATTTCGGTCAAAAAGAAATATGATTGGAAAATTTGATTGAAAGGATAAATTGAACATTTGGCAATTTTTCAATAACAAATAGATACAATTGAAATTTTAAGGACAGATGAAAAACTTAGAGTATCCTAAATTTTGATTATAAGAAAAAAAAAGTAAATAAAACAAGTTAATTCCATTTTTCTTTCTACTTAAAAAATAATTTTATTTCCAAACCACACATGCTTAGTCATCATGCATAAAATTAGAAATCGAAATAAAAGTTTTAAAAAAATGAGAGATCAAATGGTAACATTTATTAAAACTTGCATATTAAATATCCCGAATGTTTTAATTTTATTGTTAATGTATGTTCTTTTTCAAATGGGAACCTAATATAAATCTAGCCCAAGAGCTCCAATGGTTCAAATTCACCTTATTCTCATATTTTGCAAGGGTAGTCATTGGTGAATAATGAGAAGTAAAAAAAAATTAAAAAAAATCAGGTTTTGTACAAGTTAACTAACCCATAACAGTAGTTCATTAGTCAAGGAATAGAATAAGAACTTATGATACCATGATTCATGTTTCATCACCTACGTTATAGAAGAAGAGTCATACTAAATTCACCAATTAAATTATTACTTTCATTATTTTTTTATATATAATTATCAATATATATTTCATTAATTATTGATAATTATCATATAACATGTATTAATAGAGAATGTATTGATAATTTTTGAAAAAAAGAATTGGTAGAAATAACAATTTGTTTTATGAATTTAGCAGTGCCGCACGTAGAAGAATTCTTCTTTTTCCATCCTTGTGTGTTACTAGCCAATCCCATAAATCTTGTGTCAACTCATAATTACATTAAACTAGAGGTAAATATATCCATTTATTGTTATACAATACTCAAAATCTTTAATATGTCCTTAAGTTTTCAATTGCCTCTCATTTATTTTTAATTTTTTAAAATATTCATTCTGTTATTTCTATCAACTTTTCCGATCTTAAATAATTTTTTTGTTGAAATATCTTTTGCGAAAATTTAAAAAAAAAAAACTTAAAGTCATATGACCTGCATGTTTTATTTTTTAAAATCTTTATAATTTTATTTTATTTGCATTTTAGTAAAACATATTCGATCAAAAAACAAATTTTGATAAAAAAAATTGATTGAAACAACAAATCGAGTGTTTCAAAAAAATTTAAAAACAAATAGAATACAATTAAAAACTTAAATACAAATACGAGATTTTAAATATTATATAAGAATAAATAATTATATTTACCTTTAAACTAGTTATGCATATGTTCGAGATTTATTTCACCTACACTTAAATAATGTGAATTCGACTCTCTTATAAAAATAAAAAAAGGTTTGTTATCTAATCCAAACCAGTCAAGTATTTATTGTCTGACAAATTAATTAATGTTTTTAGTTGAAATCATTCTTTTTTCTAATCTCCAACAAATTTTATGCACAAAGACAAAAATACTTTCCTATCTAGTTTTAGAAAAGTCATTTATATTCAAATAAATATATTCACAAAAACTATTTTTATATTTTATTTTAAAAAATAAGGATTCTAAATAAATTTATTAGAGCCCCTAACAAATATAACTTTTAGAAAATCATATTAAAAGTCGGATAAATTTTCAAACCATGCAATTAAAAACCATTTTCATTGAAATTATAGGATAATGTTTTTTTTTTTGGAGGTTGAAGCTCTTGAAATCATCAGAAGACCCAAGACAAAGAAGGCCCACTTAGAAATAAGGAAAAATCATGGGCCAACGAGCTTAGCCATTTTCAAAACTAGCGTGTTATTCAACCCATAACTTAGCAGGTAAGGCCTCTCCTAAGAATTCTAAACTGAAAAGGGTGATGGGTCAGAGTTCAGTCTATCTTTCTGGGTGGTAAAATGCATCAATTATATCTCTAGAATTTTAAATTTCTAATATGTTTTTTCTTATGAATTTATCGTCAAATCATCATTAAAAAAATATTTCTCAACTGAACATGTACAAATTATAATTTTTTAAGAGCATTTTTGCCAAAAAAAAATTAGCCATGTACAAAACACGTAACTTTTTCAAATTATTTATCCAAAAAAAATCACCAACTTATTAAAAATCTACTTAAAATACGGAAACATAATTGATTTATTTTAATAAATAAGTATATACGGATGGATCGAGTCATTTCTCTCAACTAAAACCCTCGAATTTTGTACGATTGAGGTTTCGTTCCAAAATAATTTCTCGAATAATGTATTAACATTCATCAATTAGGTTTACTCTATTAATAATTAATATTATCAAAGAAACATAATTCGTCAAAAAATTAGCCATATGTATAAAACACATAACTTTTTCAGATTATTTGTCCAAAACCACCAAATTGATTTATTAAAAACTTACTTAAAATACAAAGACATAATTAATTTATTTTAATATATATAGGTAATTTAATATTAATCTCATTATATAATCACAGACCGAGTCATTAATTTCTCCAAACTAAAACCCTTGAATTTTGTATGATCGAGGTTTCTTTCCAAAATAATTTCTCGAATAAGATATTTACATTCATCAATTAGGTTTACTCTATTAATCATTAATATTATCAAAAACCCTAATTTGAGAAAGAATAGTATTATCGATTATGTCTATTTTATGCTCAAACGTTGACCAGAGTAGCTCATGCGTTCCTAGCTACTAGCCAGTAGCTAGGAGCCTAGGACATTGCTTTGTTCATCTTGAGCATGTACAGAATGTGTCCAAAACCCAACAGAATCCAACAAATATAAGCAATAGATTAGGGCAATCATGTACAAATTCCATGCACCAAGCAGAAGAATCAAACGGCCAATATAATCACAGATCACCTTGTAGAACTGTCGGCGAGACGCCTCACACCATACATACTAGTATATTACACTGTGTCCGGGTGGTGGGCCTCAACAGTTGGCCTCTCAGCTCTGTGTTGACCTTGTCCGTAGCACCATTTTTCGACTTTGTGGTTTCTTTCTGACTTCCTGTCCATTTCCCATACGTGCTCCTGCTTTGTCTATACATTAACAAAACAATTTCTGTGCGTTAGCCCTGATACCATCGTACATACAATGTGTACATCCTCCAATTGTTTTTCCAAAAGAAATGTGGTGGTAGGAGAAAAGGTGCATTGTCTAGACCTAACATAAAAAACAATGATTTATATCGTATCATCCAAATTTGTTGATGGTTTAAGGTAAATGAGTTTATTTTTCACTTTTTATGTTATATATGGTATTAGATTTGGATTCAAAGAAAATTATCAGAGAGGGTTTCGGAGAAACATAAGTTCAAAATTGTTTACTTATAATACGATTAAAAAAAAGATTTAGATTTGATAAGTTCAAATGATAGATAACATTACTCTTATGTTATCATCTTGTGTTCAAATTTTTTTATTTATAAAAAAAAAACACTAATGTGAATACAAGTTCATTTGTCTAAAACTTAACTACATATTCATGTAAATCTTCAATGCAAAAAATCAATATGAAAAATATACCTAAATTTTGATTAGAAAAAAATTGATATATATATATATATATAATTGCTCTTATGTTATCATCTTGCATTCAAATTTAAAAAAAAAATTGAAAAAAAAATGCTAATGTGAATACAGATTCGTCTTTCTAAAACTTAACTACAGACTCATGTAAATTATAAACTTTTTTGAAATGCAAAAATTCAATATGAAAAATACATCTAAATTTTTATTAGACAAAAAATACAAAATATGTATGAAAATATCGTGATATATGTAGATATCTTATTTGAGTAATCAAACTTATAATTAATTACCTTTTTTCAAAAGAGTGGGGAAAATCCTCCTGATTATGTTATGTTGGTGGTGGACACAATTCAAATTAAAAATTAGAAACTTAAACTTTGAGATTATTCTCCTTTATCGGAAAGTAACACACCCACCAAACCAAATGCAACTATTAAAATCATACCATGCTCCATTTCAAAGCACAAACACAAACCATATTTAACTAACTTCATGATTAAAGTCCAAAACACATGATTAAAAAATAAAAAACCACTCTATTGTCGGAAGGTGAAAAACCCCAAAAAGAATGTCAAACCGTAAATCACGATTAAGAAACAATGAAGAACATAATTAACATTAATCATCACAAAATATAAGTTTGTTGTTCTAATGATCCGACAACACTACGTGGTGGCAATGTCTCTCTTCTAAGTTTCTTTGTACTTGGTTTTAATATTTTTGCCCCTTTTTTATCTTCCTTCGTTGCCTTTCTTCTTCACCTAACGCTTAATTTGGCGGTGTCCCTCACTAGGCCCAACACTCTCACCTGACAAATATCAGCTGCTGATTCGTCTGAGCAATTTTTTTTTTTGGGGCTATTAAATTTTGGAACATGAACATTGGCGTCGGTGATCTACGAGGAAATGGCAAAGAAAGTGGGAGTTCTGTTCTTGTTACTAAAATCGGCGACTCATGATTTTGTTGACGAGAGAATAATTTTGGGACCCAAAAGGAGAGAAGCCCGTGCGGGAGGAGATATAATTGAAAATGTAGATGGCTAGCTAGCTAGAATATGAAACAAACAATCACTTGAGGAGGAGGACCAGCTAGCCATGAATTGTGGGCTTTGATTGTACAGTGTAGATTTGCCACTATTTTACGTCACTGGAGAATGAGGGAGCAACCACTGCATAATTCTAGATCAGTTCTTATTCGCATTACGTTACAGTCAAACAAGATATGTAAAATTATTTTAAAAAATATTTTAAAATAATTTTATATATTTTGTTCGATCGTAACGTAATGTGAATAAAAACTGATATAGAATTATGTAGTGGTTGATAGTAGGTATTATATTATGGATCCGTTAAAATATATCAAATAAAAAATTAAATCAAAATTATTTTTTAAATTTTGTATTTAACTAATCATTCATTATGTTTTTCATAATTTTTTTATTAAAAAGAACACGATATATTCTTCTAAATCAGGCGTCTTAACTAAAAAATTATAAGAAAATTCAAAAATCCACGGATTCTTAACTAAATTTTTTTTTTAAATCTAAGATAGATTATTTAAAAAATACTTTTAACCTTTAGATTAAATCTATATATATTGTAAACTATTTATTTGAAAAAAAAAGTAACATATATATATATATATATATATATATATATATATATATATATCATGAGAGATGAAATTACAATACAAATAAAATTATGGATCGAAATAAAATTTGTTGAAAAATGAGAACTAAAAAATAATATGAGCAAAACTTTATGCATAAAATGCTTTAAAAAACCTCAAAATTACTATAAAAAAAAATTCAATACATAGTAAAAAAAGGTGAATAGTGTTGTGAACAAAATAAATGTCTAAAAAAATACTTAAAATAAAAAAAAATCACTGCCTTAAAATCATAAAATGCCATCAAGTGAATAGTTTTATGTGAGCGTATGAATGGTATAAAAATAATAAAAACTCTATATCTTTTAAGGTTCTTTGTAATGATCGGGGTTGATTGATTTTATTATCCATTGAGTTGCTTCCATTATCTCTTAAAAGGTAGTGTTTGTTAGCATGAGGATTTTAGTGATTTCTAACATCATCATAGAACAAATTAATACAAAGAAATAAATTTAGTGGCAATCAATATGTTCCTTCAGGCTTGGATCAACAGTTTTTTCTATCAATTTGTCTTAAGAAAATATAATAAATTAACTTATCCGGTTACCATCAAAAGTTATAGATAAAATGTTAAAGAAAAATGTATCTTCAATCATGGCGTGATATTTAATGACTATTTTCATGGGCTGATTTTGTCAAGCCGAAACTTTTTTACAGTGCATCATGCAATAGCTTTACGTTTAATCCAACATATATATCTTAAATTAATGAACAATTAGTCTCACATTTTATCAGCATGCTACAGTGTTTTTAAGAGCTCCTCCATCCGAGGGAAGTAGTACCTGAAAGAGGAAATTTGGTAATAAGAAAACAAACATTTTCTTAATTTGGTAGCAATGCGAATCTAGATTGGGGGAGTATTTGTTCTCGCTTCTCTTTCAGAGAATGTCTTATTGGACAAAGCCTGTTTATGACAATTTCCTATACACAAAAAAAAAAACATCTAATTCATAACTCAGATGACATCCATAATGGATCCAACAAAATGCGAATTGGGGTGAGACTTTAGAATTACTCTATCTCGAAGTAGAACCTAAACTTCTATTATTCAAAAGGAAATTCATCGACATTCTCTAATTAGCAATATAAGCTCTTTAATTTACTTGTTGCGCAATCCTAATAAATATAATATATAGAATCTCTTTTAGGACAATCCATATTTAATTAAATTAAAAATTCTACTATCTAAACATAAAATCTCTAACACATCCCCTTAAGTGAAAGCTCTAACATTTGAACTTAAAATTACATAAGTCTACGTTGTGTTATGCTTAATATTCGAGAAATTAGAGATTGTGAGACTTGAACTCAAGATCTCTTAATCAATCAAACTGTAATACCATATTAAAAGATCATTTTACCTACAAAATTAAGATAATAAGTGAGGTCCAAAAATGTAATTTATATTAATCTATAATACAATTAATTGAACAAAAAAGTAATGTCTCCATTATGTTAAATAAAAAATAAACCAACCAATTTGTTTTAAGAAAATAGAAAATAAAATTTATTTTTAAAACAATTTTTTCACCAATCAAAATCAAATTAAATTTATCAATTAACATGTTTAACAAAAAAAATAAAAAATACATTCAACTTAATTGATAGCAACATTCATGTTTTAATATGTAACTTTACGTCTTCTCTACTCAACTACTACCAAACAAAAAAACTGGCCAACATTGCACTAACACAAATTCTCAAACTATGATAAAACGACATGCATGCTTCATTGCTAGCTAGGGGGACCTCGAGAACTTCATGCTTGAAAAGGTATATCAGAAAACTTTCCTCTCCGAATCATCTTTTACTTAATCCATCAACATTAAAAAAAAAAAAACAAAAATGTACTACTAGATTGACATGATATCCAATGTCTGGTTCTGCCACAGTAGAACAAGTTGGCATGCATGTGTCTATTTGGTACGGAGCCATGGACAACTGTAGTTGACAACATCGAAACTATGGCTAACATTAAATATGGGGTTTCCTATCCTTAATGAATGTGCTGTCTCGATGTGCAAAAATCTGATAAAAGATCACAACATTTATGGCTTTCAGTTGTGGCCTTTGTCATCTCTTGATCTCACACTACCAAACAGAAAAAAAGAACCACTAATCTACCACTCCCATCAAGCCTCGGATCAGAAAACTACCACTTAATTAATACTTCTGTTTTCAATCAAATCTGGTAATGAAACGATTGTCTTGTTTGACTTTAATACGTATTAATAAGATTGTTAATTATTATTTCATATTACCATATTTTGTTTGTTTATTTAAAAAAATTAATTAAAGGTATATTATTTACATTTTTTTATTAAGCAAATATTTTACAACAAATATAAATAAGAAAGTAAAGGATTTCTTTAAAATAGAGAGGAAATTCTTAGTTTAAAAAACTTTGATATTTTGAATGTTTGTATTTTTTATTATTCATTTGTAATTTAGTCTTTTTCATTCGAGTTACATGATGATTTTAATTAGTTTTCTTTTTTTCTAAATAATTCTATTTAGATATTTATAAAAGATTAATTTGTCAACTTCAATTAATATAAGATCTCCAAAACTAGAAATAGTGAGCTTCCAAAATTATTACAAAAAAAAATAGGAATCATAAGTTACAAAAAAAATATAAATAAATAAATAAAAATGTTGGTTTATTATTCGTGGGCACTTGTTCTAACAACTATTCACCTAAACACTATTCATATAGATTAATATGGATTATTCTGTTTCCTATGTAATGATATTTATGTAGTTTTCTAATTTTTTAAAACGTTCATTATGAAAATTTTCGTGATATTATACTTTGGTTCATCTTTTTTAAATATATTTTTTTATTTGTAATATTTTTTGTTTAATTTTGATCCCTCTTTTTTGTTTTGTTTTTATCCTAGCTTTTTTTCTGATTTTTAAATTTAAAATTTTAAGGAAAAAAGATATTTAGAAAAAACAATTTACAAAATAAATTTTTAGTTAAGAATTCATTGATTTTAACATTTTTTTCTTATAATATTATATTTTTTATTTGAGAATATAGATAGAAATAAATAAATAATTTTTTAATTAAAAATTTATGAAAAATATAAAAAAATAATTAGTCAAATACAAAATTTTTTATTAAAAAATTATAAAATTGAATGAATTTTAATTTATTTTTTATTTCATATATTTTAGTAGACATATGCTATAACACGTATATCAAATTAAAATAATTTTTTAAAAATAATTTTATATATTTAGTTTGATATGTAGCATAATAACAATAAAAAAAAACTAGTAATTTACTAAGCTTGAATTAGGAAAACCGGTTTGAAAATTCCTTTTGACGGTAAAGATAAAAAGAAGTACTAGTAGAAGTAAAAATAATAGGCATAAATAAGAGGATATTTGGCAACAAGTGTCGGTACAACCGTACATGAACGCATGGGTGTCTCTCTCAAGAAATTTTTTGACAAATTAAATCAAGTTCTTAGTACAAACAACCACCACATCTTTCGAGGCCCTACTCAGATTTTCTCGCTGACTAACACAGGTACAAAACTTTTCTCTGGTTTTTATTGGATCTAGAAAAGAGAGAGAAATATTACGTATGAAAAAAAGAATTAATTGACTGATATGTTTTTATAAAAATAAGTTAATTCTCCAATCTAGTTTTATATTTTTAATTAAATTAATTTTATTTTTTAATATTCTTCTTGTTTTAAAGAGATAGTCTCCTTTTACTTTCCAAAAATTTTTAAAAAACATTAATTATTATGTGATATTAATATTTTTCTAAAATGTTTTTTTATTAATATTGTTAGTTATTAAATTTAATCCTTCATGACATGAAACCAATATTAATTTAAAGAGAAAATCTATCCAAATTTAAGATTTTAAATAAAAAAATATTAAGTTAATTAACGATCAAGTTTAAAATAATTATAAAAAATAACATATTAATGAAAATATTTTATTTCCAAAATTTTTGCATGTAGTTAAGTCCTAAAAGTATGAACGTTTTTCTTTTAAATTTTTATGTCAAAAGTATTTATATGTATAATGAAAAATATAAAAAAATATATAGATTTTTTGTTAGTAAAGAACATGAGATGAAAGAAAGAATTGATTTCTTTTTTGTCAACTAAACTATTTTAGGACGATATATTATTTAAAGCTTCAATGAAGCAAGCATTTTGGGATAAATATAAATAGAAAGAAAGATAATATCTTTGAGATGCAAGAAGTCTATGTTAAGTGTCTAGCATATCCTTCTGACAAGATTGTAAGGCCAAATTAGTCAAATAAAAGTTTTTTATTTGACTAACTTAAAAAACTATTTTGAAAATAAAAATAATTATGTGCAAATCATATAAATAATTTCTCTGATTTGGTCTAAAAATCTTGAAAAAAATATATATTGAAAACTTAAAGTATTTATAGCTTAATTTCATTTTTATTTTGAGGAAGAGGATAAAGGAAAAATAAAAAACAAAAAAGAGCATTTTTCATTATTATTGGATACATTTATAGCAGCTAGGGGTTAGTACGTACTATGTCCTTTGAATCAGTACATACATTTTTAAAAAAAACCGTGACATGAGTGGAATTAAAACAACCCTATGGTCAAAGCCTTTGAGAAAGAAGTCACCAATGCCCAAATGAGGGCACTGCGCGCACGCGTATATATATATATATATATATATATATATATATATATATATATAATCTTTTTACGGATAAGTGATATTTCTAAATCTAATTTTTGCACTAATAGAGCTATGTCTCAACTAATGAAATAATTCATGATGGGGAGGCCAACACCTTTGGATGCTTAATATGACCCTAAGAAAGCAGTTTTTTTCTTTTTTTCTTTTTTATTAATACACATCGTGGGTGTTCGTTCGGTAATTCGGTTCGATTTCGAACTTTTTTGATCGGTTTTTGATTAATCAAATTGTCTAAAAAAATAACCGAAACCGAACCGAATTATTATTCGATTTTTTATTCGATTTTGAAATATATCGGTTTTTTTATTCGGTAATTCGGTTTTCACTCGTAATTATCTATATTTTTGATTTTTGAAAGGATCATGCACTTTCGAAAAAATAAATTTAGTATTTGCATTGCGATTTTAGGCTATGTTCCTATATGTATACATTTTTCAATCTCATCGAACTCTGTCTATTTACTATTATTTTACTACTCCTCAATAGTCATTACTAATATAATATCAATTGATATATATATATATATATATATATATATAATACGAGATGTCATCATTACTATCTAAAGTCTAATAATATATAATATATGTTGTTGTCTATCGGTATCGGTAGATAATACCGCTAAATATGTGTTACAATTAAGACATTTTAACAATTCATTCTAAAAAGAAACGAGCATGATTTGAAGCTCAAATATAAGCGACTTATTTGCCTTTATGAAAGACACTTTTAATTAACTTGACGTGATTAGAACTAATAATTTTGGGTAACTTGTTAAACACTACGGCCATAAGCTAACCTTTGCTAATTAAATAACAATGTTGTTTTTGAACAATGAAGAACATTAAAACTTTAAACACTCAACTTTCTTTATCGCAATTTTAAATTATATATGTTTACTAAAAAGAGAAATACTAATTATTACCGGGGTCCATAAATTAATTAGTTTTCTTTCACATAGAAAAAAAAAACACTATTTCATGTCTTTTCTTTTAAACTATAAATTGAATCAACAAAGAAATTATGTACCCCATTGGACAATTATAAATAAGAATTGGTTATGGTCATTTGGCGTTGGATCAATTGGCTCATGTAATCAATGCAATAAGAATTGGTTATAGGCTAATTGATTTAACTCTAATCGACTTAGGTTTGCGTGAGGGTGAGATGAGGGTGTGAGGATCTGGAATGAACGACATCGTTCAACGATGAATTTTAAAAAAAAATTTAATAATTTCGGTTATTCGGTTTTAACCGAATTAAAAAAACCGAAACCGAAATCGAAATCGAAAACCGGCAATATTTCGATTCGTTTTTTTTTAGTTTCTAAAAAAAAAACATCACCGAAATTGATATTTCGGTGCGATTCGGTTCGGTTATTCGGTTTTCGCCGAATAGTGAACACCTCTAATACACATTAGTCTTACCGTAGAAACTGATTTCAAAATATTTTTATATTATTAAAAAGATTAACACTATCACATGTTTTTATATAATAGGTTAATTTTTCAATATGTTCTTAAAAAAAAAAAAAACTCTTTCAATCATTTACGTCAAATAACAAAAATAATATTATCAAATCACATAGCATGGGCAAATTATATGTTTAATTTGATCAAAAATTTTAATTAAAATAATAAATTAGAAATTTGTTTAAAATATAAGGAAAAATTATATATATTTTTTTAGAAATGGATTGAAAAAATAGCTTATTGTACGAGGATATACAAAGATATTAACCCTTGTTTAAAAGAGAAAAACAAAAACCGAGTCGGCCAATAGCTTATTGTTATTATTTATGTTATCCACAGCCACTCCTGTGTTTCAAGTAATTTAACTGTACGTCATCTTTCACCATTTAATATCATCGACTACATTTATTATGTCCTTGATGACATTTCCTTTTTTCAGTTAGCGCTTTCAAATAATTACTAGTTGTAATTCTTTTTTCAATGATCAAGTGACTAGGTACTTTTTTTTCATAATAAATAACCTGGTGACTTCTTCCTTTTTTTTTTAATTATAAAATTATTTTCAAATTATTTTATAAATCAATTAAAATTAAATTTTTTGCTGTAACGATTTGAAGAGTATACCATTTATATCAATCTAGTGCATCTAGAAAAATTTAAATTCTTCTCATATTAAGACTGCCCATTCCAAAATTTGAATCTAAAAAATATAAAAAGATCTTTATATTTGTAATTAACTTGATGCCTT